TGCTGTGCTCCCAGTGCATGTCCAAGAGGAGAAGCAGCTTTGGCTTCTCCAAGACTTCTTGGATGCTCTTTGGCAGGGGTGGGTAAGAGGAGGACTTTACTGAGAGTCCAAACTAAGGGTTTTAAAAGCAGAAAAGCAAAGCAGCAGTAAGATCTTCTGAAATTTCCATCTTGCACTTAGGCTGGTCAGCCTGGTGTGGGAGCACCCATGCTGAAAGTGTGGGCTCTTGTGAGATCGAGGTGGAGCAGGAGCATCCATACCTTCTTGCTCTGTTTCTTCTAAGGGAATTTATTGCTAATAAAAACCAGCAGAACTGACAGTCCTGAAGGCTTCGTAATCCCTGCAATAATTACTGACTGGACGGGGTCTGATGTGAGCTTGCTCATGCTGCTGTGTCAGTGCCTCTCAGTTTGCCCTTGGGGCAGTCTCAGAGAAGCCCACGCATTTCTTGGCCTGTCTTAGGACAGCCGCTGACTCCTTCATGGGTTGTCATGGTTGTAGGAATATTCCAGGGTTGCTCATGACCGTGGAGTGGTCATGGAAAAATGAGGGTGGCTGTTTTATTTTGGTGGGTAATGGCTTAGTGGCCGTTTCCTGACACGCCACTGGTTGAGCTGGCAGGTTCTTGTAAGCACTTTAGCTGTGGTAGCGGTAACTTCTCAGTCTCTGAAATGGTTGTGGAGTTTGAAACAGAGTCGTGTACTGTGAGGCACGCGTCCTGTGAGGACGTTTTCCTTGGAAGAAGGGAAAAATACTTCACTAGCTGGCTGAAAAACCTGGGGAAGCTGGTAGTAGCTGCGACCCATCAGGAACCTTTCTGCAAATTCATGTGCCCCTTTATGTAGCGGTGTTACAGACACAGTTGTCTAAGACAACTGATGGGCTTCTAAAGCTGTAGCAGTTGACTTGTTTAATAGTGCCATCCACAAATCTGAAATGTATCAAATTTCCCCTGAAGTTAAGCAGCTCTCAGTTGGCTTAGGTTTTGGGTTCATTTTCTGTGCACTTGGGTTGCATTTTTAAGCACTTTTTTGAAACCACAAAGGGTTAGAAAGTTACTTTAACATCATCTCAACTTTAAAATTTATGTTGTGGTCACCTATATTGAAGAGCAGGGATTTGATACAAGTGATCAAATATCTGGAGCCTTACAATTGAGTCGTAAGAGTTAGAAATGCCACTTACAGTAGACTAGTTCTGGTTTGTTTGGGTTTTATTTCTTATTTTTAAGAAGTGCTGAAACATTCTGGTCCACATTGCACAAATCCCAAATGTGAAGATGAATAAAAACAAGACTTCTTGGAACTTGAGGAACTCATATGGGGCACAAATCCAGAGTATGGGTTTGTTTATTTGCATTCCAGTAACTCAGAAATCTCAGTCCCTCCAAGCGATGGGAATCGGTAATGCATCCTCCTGCTGACTCCTGCTTCTGGTCACCTCGATGCCCAGGGTCTTGCAGCAAACAGGCCTTGCATGCTAGCAAATGTTTTGCATACGTAGGCAAATGTGATAGTGATGTGCTGAAAGCATGGAACCAGATCTCCTTCCTTCCTTCGTGGAGATTTAGATATGGCTTCCGTTGTTCGCCTAGGGTGGAGGGGGTTGTTTGTGTGTGGTTCTCCTTCAAGATTACTCAAAAAAAAAAAAAAAAAAAAGGAATGGGTAAACATAATTATTTCTCTAGATATTTTCTAGGAATAGATCTGTTAGGTCAACCAGAGTCTAGGGCTAAATAGGATCTTCTGCAGTGGCCTGATCTATGCATACAGCTGCTTTTAGTTCTGGGAGGGGGCTGAAGGTATGTGGCAGTATACATTTCTTCCAGCACAATATAGGGTTTTTAGAGATCATGTATTAACCATTAGGCCTAATTGGTACAGTGTAGCACCACGCGGAGAGAAAAGCTCGGGCTGAAATTATATTTATATGTATATGTACTGCGTGGAAGTGTATTTGGGCTAACTAATTTCTCTGCAGGGCTGCTTTTGGTCAGAATCAAGCACTTCTGATGCAGTGATTCTGAGTACCAGCTTGAGACTTCACCTGTTTGGTGGAAGCCTCGAGCTCTCCTATGGGATCCGTCTGGGGTGCAATGGCACCTCCAGCAAGTTTAGCAAGAGGACACGCATGCCTGAGAGCAGACGTTTTAGTCGATATTTGATGCTGGTTAAATCCGTGGGAACATTCTGCTCCTTCTTGAAGTGTAGTTAAACTTTTTTTGCTTTTGAATCAACACCTCCTTACGCTGCAGACTCGCTGCCTCCATATATTCAGCCTATCTGCCGATGCCAGTGACATAAAGAAGTTGCGGCTACCCCCGAGTGCCTGTGCAGCTGAGCCTGAGTGCACCCGGCTGTACTCTGTCTTGGACATCATCAACGGGAGAGCTTATTAAGTTTGGCCTTGTAATTGAATAAGTTACACTGTGTAAGTCCCTTAAGGGTTGTTCGACAGAAGATTTCTCTCCTGGTGATGATGAGCAAGAAGAAAATAATCCATGGTGACTTCCAGAAATGGTGAAAAGTAGAGAAAACAGATGCTAAGACCCAGCAGTACTGGGTCTTTTTGGGGTAGACCTCTGCCTTTAGGGCTCGTACAGCACTGGGAAGCTGGAGGAGTTGACATGGTGCGTTTGTTGAAAGAAGGCTGACAGATGATCCATTAAATAATGAGATCATATTCTTAACCCACGATACGTGTTTTCGCTCTCCTGAGACTGATAATCCACCTTCCCTCTCCCTTGTCCCATCCTCTCCATGGTTTTGGTATTTTGTTTCTGTGTGGGTTTTATTCTTCTAGATTTGCTATGCTTAATAAAATCAATGTAATACTGTCTTTGCAATCTACTTTATTTTCTTATTCCTGAACTGTAATGTGGTGGTATGAAATTGTAGTGTTCTGCACAGATTTTGTCTCCACAAACATGCAAAGTCGTCTTAATTTTTGTTTCAGTTCCTTGCATAAGTTTTAATTTATATCGTTTTACCCATGTTACCTAAGATTTGTTATTTTTTTGCCTTTCTTTTCTGAACTCATTTTTCTTTCCCCATTTTTGTTTCCTCCATCCAGTATCTGCAGATGAAATGGCCACTGCTTGATGTTCAGGCAGGGAGCCTTCAGAGTAGACAAGCCCTCAAGGATGCTAGGTCTCCATCTCCAGCACACATTGTTGTAAGTAAACGCAGAAAGATGTTCTACCTTTGTTTTTTAAAAAAAAGAAAAAAAGAAAAAAAAAGAAAGAAAAAAGAAAAAAAAGGCATTTGACATTAATGGCATTGGTTGTCATCAGTTTTCTTTTACACAAACCAAAAGAGAAATACTTCAAAACAAACAAAAACCTTAACGAGCCCATGGTAAAAGGAGGGAATACATTTGCTGGGCTGTTTATGAAATTATCATTCATGTGCCTCGTAGGAGAGCAGAGAGTTGAAAATGCTCTAAATTTACACACTGCAGAATTATTTAGTAGCAATGAAGTCCAATCAGGCTGGTTTACACATCTGACAATGTTGAACTGAAGAGAATGAAGAGACACTTTTGGAGAGCATTAAAAAAATAAAAACCAAGCCTGTTCTATGGCATTTACTAAAAAAATCTTTTCTTACTGCAAAATCTTGAATGAAAGTTTGTGAGTTGGTCAGCATTTTACCTGGGTGAAAGCTCAACAGAGCACATGTCCCTTTGTGTTGTGATGACTTCTCATTTAGTATAAAAGGTGTTAGCAAATGTTTACTACTTACCTGCAAAACATAAAAATCTCTTTATAATAAGTAGCATTGCTAAAAATGGCTTTTTTTTTAATTAACTTTCCAGTTCTCGGTTAAATTTTCTTGCTTCTATTGTTAAAACAATGTTGAGTTTGAAATGTTCAATACAAATTTGCATGAGAGGGGTTTGGGGTTGTATTTTACTTTCTAAAATAGCATCCATAGAGGTCTAAAAGGAAACTGCTTATATGGTGTTATGCAAGAGGGGTGGTATGCACTGGCCCATCCTCACCCATAGCCAGTGTCAGTGCCAACTAATGTTAAAGATCATCTTAGCTCTGAGCGTTCATCTGAGAAATTTACCTCTGGAGAAGATGGCACGCAGTAGAATGTTTCTTCTGAAATACTTTATCATCAAGTTTTACATGATTTTTTTTTTTTTTAAACTTTTTTATAACCAATGGATGACAAGGTGAATCCCAGGAAAAGAAACGTTGCTTGTTCTTTGTCTTCTGTTATACAGTCTAAAGCTGACGTAGCTGGTAGATCATCCAAGGTGCACATTTGTTTTGCTAGAAATCTAAAATCATACTAAACATTTTTGAGGAGCTTCTTATTCTCTTGTTGTCTCTTTAACTTGAGAAATTTCAGCCCTTTGCTATGTCTTAGTTTTTTATTTAAAAAGAAAAAAGGTTTCTTATCTTTTACAGTCCATAGCTTCTAAACCATCCCTCAGTACAGCAGAGAGTGATGGGCACAGGACTGGTATTTGCTTAGTCGATACCTAGTGCTGGTTGCTTCACTTTTTCAGATGACTTTGTTTTTCCTTCCTGTCCACTTGGGCTGCCACTGGAGGAAGAGATCAGAGGAGAAGTGTTTGGCTGGTTATTTAGAAATCTACAGCCATCAAATCCTGCCGTCATCTTATTCTTCATAAGAAATGAACCAGAGTAACTTCCTTATTTTAATTCTGATTTTACTGCCGTGCTGGAGGACCGGCATGGGGGACGGGAGTGTTCCTGGGGCTCTGGGGCCAGCACGGCAGAGCAGTGTCAGTCTTGTGGGAGGTGATAGCAAGGGAGCAGGAGGTTTCTCCTGGCTGGTTGCAGCCTGGGAGGGCAGGCTGACATTCGTGGGTAGCTTTGCTGGGGATCACCTGTGCTTAGCAGTGCTGAGTATCTGCTGTCCCAAAAGCTTCCTGCCACGTAAGAGAGTGGGCGCGTGCCTTTCAAGGCCAGCTGGGGGGTGGTTGGGATCCTGGCTCCCCCAGCCCTCTCCAGCCCCTCCCTCCACCCAGGTGTGGGTGAGGTGGAGGCGAGTGGACAACACAAACACACACACAAAAAAGGGATCAAAAATCATGATCATTTTGGAAAATAAAGAGAAACCTGTTTCCAGGGAGGCTGAGGTTGATCTGCCTTCTATTTTGACCATTTATGGGGTTCTTATGGGTCTCTTTAAAAGCTGTTTCACTCTGCTATTCAATAAAAAGCATATTTACCATAGCAACCACTTAGGCTGTGAGGAATATATACTACCTCTGAGATGGAGGCCACCTTCCAAAAGAGCCACAGCTGGCATTTGTAATGTGATCTTTTGTGCTACTTACAATGTTGGAGGGGGAGAAGGAGGAGGGAGTGAGGGGGGGGAAGCAGTGGGGTTTTTGGGAGGGGGGTGGTCCTGCAAGGTTAAATGTTTATTTCTAGCAGCGAACTGTTTTGCCTTATTCTGTTAAAATAAATAAATAAGGGGCAGCTTCTCCCACCCTTTTTCCTGGCATCTGCCCCAGGCCACATTCATTCTGTGGAGTAAAATTGGTCTTATTTTTGGTAAATAAAGTTAGAGCGGGTAACGGCATTCAGGGGAGATGAAGTGGCTGCAGATGCTGGTTGGCCTGGGATGTGTCAGGCTTATCTGGTGTCCCCGTTCGTCACTGCTGTGCCTGCACCTGGGACCTGGCTGCTCTTGCAGCAGGCTCTACACCCATTTCTGCATACGTGAAAACGTGATTAATCTTTTTATGGAACAATGAGGGGTATTTCATGGACATGCTGATGTTTCTGTGCAAGTGTAATGTATAGGGAGAGACACTGGTTCTCCACCCACATTGCTGTGTCTTGTCTACCCGCCAAGTGTACCTATGCCAGTTTTTCATCTTGAAATCAGTTGTGCTGCCCTGAAGATCTGTCTGAAAATGCTAACACCTAATTTTTCGCTAATAATTTCTTATCTTTGTCCTATCTCTGAAATCAGGATTTGAGGCTAATCTTTATAGCTGGGTTACAAAGAGAGGAGCGTGGGGGGGTTGGTTTTTTACCCCCCCTTCTTTTTTTTTTCCCTTCTTTTTTTTTCTTTTTTCCTTTTTTCCCCCCCCCCCCCCCCCCCCCTTTCCTTTCCTTTTTCTTTTTTAATGTTCTTGCTTCTCAGTGCTTGGCTGTGACTACCATGAGCTCTGTGTCAGGGCTGCAGCCTTTATGCCCAGCTCTGATGAAACTCCCCTTGGCTTCAGTGTGAGTTTTTAGCTTAATGACTGAAGGCTGCAGAACATGGCCGACTCTAATGTTTTAAGTAAAGTCTGTACTATTTGTCAGCCATCCTCCGTTCAGATTTGTTTAGGAACATTAAGTTAAGACTACAAAAATCGAAGCAAAAGACCAGCATGAATAATTTGGCTGGATTGCCCCCAGTGCTGAGCGCTGGGTTAATACTGCTTTTCATGGTGCTTGAGAGAGTCTCCAAGGCCCATAATGAGAAACAGAATATTAAACTGAAATTATGTTCAGCATGTCTTGAGGAAGGTACAGCATGAGGCTCCATTTAAGACCAATGCATTTATTTGCATTTAGGTGCTTCACTCGTCTTGTAAGACTCTTGCATCTTGCTCTGGCACAGTCATGCTGCTTATCTGTGTCCAAAGGTGAAAGAAAACTGGGGGAAAAATCGTTTTAATAGTATGCTATTAAGCTTGCTAGGTCAAAATTTTGAATTCAGCCTGTGGATAGTACTATTATGAGGCTGGGATTTTTTAAAGGATTTTTATGGTTATTTCCCTCTTCTTTCCTGACTTTCAATTTCATTGAAGGTATTAAGACTTTGTAAAACAGTTCTAGCAGGAAGTTTTTGGGTGCAAAGCAGACCCCAGCTGGGTGCCTTAGATGCTCCTCTAAGCGGGTAGGATGGTAGTTGTCCTGAAATCCCATGTTCAACATGCAGCTGGTCTGCTCCACGCATGGGCTGCCAGCATGGTGGTAAGGATGAGATCTGGGTGCCCTAGGTATGGGATTCTCACATGAAAATTTTCTGTTGCAGTGTGGGCAGGCAAGTGAAAATGAGCATGGTATGTCTGCACAAGGATCTCCAAAATCTACTCACTGCAGAAAGCAAGCTCCTTTAAAACCTTTTTTATCTATGCATGCGTTCCTACAACCTTAAGGAGAAAAACAGTGCTGTTCTTCCCTGTTCTCTGCAACGTAAATACTCTGACTCAGCCATACCCTGTTTTGGGCAGGAGTATGGGTGAAAGACTGGTCCCAGGTTCCTGCCTCCTGCTGTCTCGGCTGTACAGAGACTTGCTTTTTTAGCTTCCTTTGTACCAGGCAAAAACATTCAGAACCCAAAATGGTGGTGGTTTGATACAGTACATTTCTTACAAAACAGTTAAAGGTTTAAAAAATTCCTGCATTTTCTTCTGCAGGGAGGCCTTTTGAAGTAAATGTAAATGTTACCTTGGGGGAGGACTTCTAGTACTATTTGGCCTGGGTTTTCTAATATGTGATGAACACAGCCATAAAGTAGACTGAATCCCCAAGAACAAAGAATCACTGTGCAGTAGTGTATCTGATTCCTCCCCCCCCCCCTTTTTTTTTTGCTTAAGGAGGTAAAATTGTGTTTTCAAAACATAATATGACAAGCAAAACTGAAGGCAAAACCATCTGAAATGTATTGTCTGTTCTCAGCCTCTTGGATGTGCGTGGACAGCGGGTGTCTGGGACCTCTGGGTGGTTTGGAGGGATCAGGAGTTGTTTCCCAGAGTGGTTAGAGTTGAAGCTGTGCAGCCTGCCCTGCCTGGTCCCTAATTTCTTTGTCTTGTGTGGTTTGCACTTACGTACTTTGAAAGAAAAGAAAAATACCTACAAGTAATCATGAGGTTTATCTTAGCTAGATTGTAAAATTCATCTACAGTGTCCCTTCAAACAGGCCAGAAGTGGGGTGCATCTAGACATATGTGCGGTCCTTTATGTATGGAGCCGTCTGGAAGTATGATCTTGCAACTTCCACTCGCAGTGCCGCAAGAGGGCTTTTAAAGTTCTTGCTTTGTGTCTTTAATATTTGTTGTAGAGAGGTTGTTCTTCCTCTGCAGTAACCTCTTGAGATGTTCTTGGATTTCAGGCTGCGTGTGCCCATGATGGGACACCCTTTTCCCTGGAGATCTGCAGGGCAATCCTCTGAGTATGCAGACTGTGT